ATATATATGTTTTTTTTGTGGATGGCTTTGCCCTCCGCGTAGAAATGACATTAATTTTTTTTTCTTGATAACAACGTACATAGTTCAATTTTATATCTACAAAAAAATTATCTTCTTTTTTTCAAATTAATTTACGAAACATTTGTCGACCGACTGATGAAACACCCTGCGTTTCACCTTTAGCAAATTGCCACATAGACTCAACAATTGTTCTGCTTTTTATCACCTTTTTATCATTTGTATATACAAAAAAAATACGAGGTAGTCAACCACATGCTTAAAATTATCATGTCTCATGATTGTATGGGTGATTGGCTGTAAGATACACGATAATAGATTATTAAGTTCATATAAAAAAATTTTGTGTTCAAACATTTCATTGCTTAAACTAAAACATATTGAGCCTTGGAAATTTCGGTTGTGTCGTCTTTTTGCTGCCATCGATTTCGTTGAAGACAAGATATACAAAATTTAGGCTACACATTTGGTTCCTCATTATTGTTTCGAAAGCGAACACGATCAGAAATTTATGTGACATTTTGGAAGTAGTGCGACATTGTTTTTAGCACGTTTTGTGAACTTTTGATTAGGAATGGGATATTTATCATCAGTTTGCGTAGCTAAATGTTACATTTTTTTATGTCCATTTATCATTATGACTGTAGGAAGTTTGGTTTCAAAATCATTTAATAAATGAGATCGTGCTTTTGGGATATAATCAGATATTTTTAAAAAATCATATTGTTATTGGAACTTAATTTGAGTATGAATATTTAGAAGAAAATGTAAAGTTTTAAATAAGTTGTCCCAAGTAGCAATCGAACTTAGGATCTTACGATTTTCTATTGTAAACAGTTAATCAGTAAACTAAAGGGGCTATTATGAAGCATGACAGAATGTCAACTTAACTTATTGATCTGATCTGAACGGTACATTGGAGCTGTCATTAAAGAAGCTACGCATGGAAGTCTACAACATTCCTCATAGAAAATAGTTGAAAGATTGTTTATCAGTCAATGACTAAGACTGACTAAGAACTCATCTTCGGTGAGATCAGGTTAGATCACTTGATGAGATTGAAACAGTTGCGTATCCAGGGAAGTTGATTTCTGACCCCCCCCCCCCCCTCCCGCCTCAGTAGAAAGTTTCTTCACTTTACTTAAGTTTTTCGTTCAAAAATGCAAATTCACTTCAACCATAAACTTTTCATCAAAAAAAAATCGACCCCCTCGACAAATTCTAGGCTACGCCAATGGATTAAAAACATTGAATTATGATCCTTCAACTTGTAAGCTACTGCAGCTTTCGAGAGAAAAGTCAGAATTAGACAACTGCATTTAATTAGACCCATTCCTTCCAACCGATAATTCAAAATAATTTAAACCAAAAGTGCGCTTAAATCTTAACTTCTTTCCATTTATTATAATTAATTTGATTTTTTACCCGAATATTTTCTAAAAAAAAACAACAAATTGATATCAAAAATTAGAAAAAAATTTTTTTCAAGAAATTGATAACAAAACAGACATCCGCAAACGCTTCTTTAAACACGCATATGTTTGTGACGACCTAAAATTGCAAAAAAAAATTCAACAATGCGATAAAAGTTGGAATAAAAAATGATTGTGTGGACATATTTCATTATGGAAATTATGATTTATACCACAACATAGGATTTATTTCAGCATTGATTAATCTCTCGCTGCTAATTTCAATTTAATTAATTGTTGGCATAATTACATGAAAACACAAAAAAATTTGAAAGGGATTTTTATTTATGGAGTGTTTTAATCTCCTCTTTTAAAATGCTGCCAAATTAAGGTAACGACTCATTATTTCATCTTTAATTAAGAAATAGTCAAACAATGCGATTTGCATTCTAGTCTCATGTAAATTTCATAGAAGTAACAACGACATGAGTTAAGATGCTCATCTCAATTAGTCATGACATTATGTGAGGTACACAATGTACATTAAAATCATGTTAGCAATTTGCTTGATTCATCACTCAATGGCAATTTGTGTCACTCACGAGAAAATCATAAGCAATAAAATTCTTTTGCAAAATAAAAATGTTTTTTTTGCTCGATTTTTCGATTTTTTTGTATTGTTTTGTAATTGTTGGAGTTTCTTGCTTTATTCAGAGTTGGTGAAGTTGGTGTGGATTTGGAGAATGGTGGCTAGTGGCTATTAATGATGCGGTAAAGTACAAAAATGACATTGGAATGGTTTAACAGTGTAATTAAGAAAGAGGAGGGCTACAGTTAAGAGGGGGGGGGGGGGGAGGTGGTCAAAAAATTCTAATAAATTGATCTCATTGTTTAAAGGTATACGAAAGGTTGATTTTTATTATTTATGAAAAGGTCAAGTTAAGAAGCAGAGCTCGAAGTTGACTCGAGATTTTCATCGATTTTGTATGGCAGAGTCGACTCCGAGCTCTGTTAAAAAGTCTTTAAACTTAGAATTTGAGCTAATTTCGCACTCTATCTAGGCTTATTCCAGTTTTTACACCCTTCGAGCCCCCTTCATATTCCATCATTAACAAAAATCTCAACTTGTTCAAGAATGCTTCTCCATTCAGTGATGAAATTCACAACCAGCACCATAACACTCCATCCCACCCCTGCCAATGACTTTCAAACATTTGAAAGCTAATTTATTTAACACCCAAAACACTATTAAACCTCCGAATCGAATCAAATTGAACGTGATTAATTTATGTGATTTCTACAAGCACAATCTTATTTTCAGTAACAAAACAGTAATTTCATCAATACAGGTGACTCTTGTAAAGTTGCCAAAAAAATCTAATCTAGCTTGAAATAATTTTCTTGCATCTCATGAGAGTCATGACCCGAGTCATCAAATTAGAAGCCACCAACCTCCATCTCTGTTCACGATATTATTTAGATCTAATATTGCACTCAATCGTGTGCCAAAAAGGCAGAAAAAACATTACAAAATAGCACACATAAAAATAAAAATGAAAACGAGATGAGAGTGAGAGCCCGAGTAGTCAGCGAATGAGTAAATACAAAAAATCTTAATTCATTTTTGTTGTATTATGCAAATTATTTCATGAGATTATTTTTGTTACAGCTGACAGATTATGTCATTAATACCTTAACTCTACCTCGTGCAGAAAAAAAAAATAAAAATAATTTATTTATCTGTGACTTATTTTGGAATAAATTGAATGAAAAATTTTTATGCCAATAATTATTCAATGTAACAATTTAAGCGAATAAAATCAATTCATCTGTAGCACAACTTTTTTTTTCTTATTTTATTTAATGCCAGCGAGTGGTCATCACAATTAGCAGATTATTGGCAACGACAAGCGAGTGCCAATTAACTTTTTCTCATCGCACTCTCTCGATTCTCTTAGTCATATATCTCTTGACATTTTTATGGCATTTTACACAAACAGTTTATGCGTTCAACTGACACATTTTCCTATAATGACATTCAATTAGAATTATGATGACCCTTATGTGAGCTGAAAATGTTATTTTTAAGTGCAAATTTTAATACATGATGTTCGCTGATGTTCACATTTTGTCCGTTTTTCCGTTCGTTTGTGTATCTGGAGGTCTGTTTATCCTCTTGGCTGTACTTCTGCCTATCATTAAGTCTGAGGTGTCAATTGGTTTGGGCTGTCAGTAGATTAGGGCTGTCAGTTTGCTTAAGCTGCCCTTTAATTTGGGCTGTCAGTTTTCTTAAGCTGCTATCTCTAGCCCTGACCCAATCCCAATAGATTCTAAACCACAAAAATGCGCTGTCCAGCAAGACACCCGCGGTCATCATTCTTAATAACTCTCTCAGATGACATATACACTCACTCTATATGCGCATGAAAAATATTATAATAACTAGTGTGTATACGAATGAAATAAATTATAACTGAATCTTGCAATGGCAGGTGAAGCACAAAATACCCGATCGACCTCAAAATGAGCAACATTTTTTTTTTTCTTCTTTTTTTCGATGTTCTGCTCGTAATAATGAATAATAAAAAAAAGTGCAAACCAATGCGACATTTTACATTTTATGCCTTTTTTTTTTCTTTTTGATTTTGTAAGAACAGAATGAAAGGGAATGAAAGAAAAATTAATTTTAATTTAACGATGAGACGATTTTGTAAAATAAATAGATAGAGTGAGAGAGAAAGGAAGAACAAGAGATGAAAGAGGAATAAAAAAATATTTGACCCTCATTCTTGGAACCTTTCCAACCGATCGAAAGTCTCGACTAGATTATTTTTTTATTATTGAAAAAGTTCAGTTCACAAAATTAAGAAGTAAATAAAAAACGAGAACTAAATGTGCTGATAATTTTCATCGGAATTAAGGAATTTGCCATACAATACAAAGTTGATGGTCATCATGGACAATGGCAAACGTCATGACCCTTCAACCGGTGCTTTAGTGCTGAAACAACAACAATGATGAAGAATTTTTTTTGTGTTCTTGCTCTTTCCTCTTTCTTTCTCTTTTTTATGATTATGGAGGTAGCCGAGGAGCACATGATAGGAGAGAGAATAGAGTATGTATGTGTTTTGGTGGTTCTGGGTTTTAAATCCAAATATATTAGATTGAAAACAAGGTTTTTGCTTGATCCAGCCAAGAATTACGTAGTGGTAGAGCAGTTGTTCTCGAACTGTTTTGGTCCACGGCACGTGTTTTTATATAAAATTCTTCGCAGCACACCTGGATAGTCTTGGGGCACTCTAAATGCTTTTCATGACCTTTTTGAAGTCTCAAAACATGATTATGAAGGTTCAATTTTAGCAATGGTGTACCGCGGCACACAGTTTAAGAACCCCTGTTGGAAAACCTACTCTTAAGAATGTTTATTGAGTCACCGTACCCAAAATACAATTGTTATTCAAAAGTTCTTGATAATCCTGACTTTAGGAATTAATTTCAATCATTTACAAATTTCATGTCGTTCCTTATTCGACTAATTACTGCAGATAATTAAATATATTTATCTCTTACCAAATATCGACTGATCCGGTGAAAACTGAGCAGCTGGAAATCCTATAAATTAAAAATAATTTTGAATTAGTTCCGAAAATAAAATGATTTGAGGATGATGAAAATTATTTAATTCTTTTAAATGCAGTAAGACATGTCTTATGTGGTGCCTTTTGACCTTCTTCTAAGCCTATGGCTAAGTCTTAGTGCTTGTCATTAGAACTATCATTCTGCAGGAGAGTCGAGATTGGAATTTTATGCAAGCAAATTTCCTACTATTTGACTAAGGACTCTTCAGCAGCACACCTTAATGTTCATTAACTTTCTTTTTGCAATCTCACAAGATACAAAGCCCTCATTTAAATAATACAGTTCAGATAGAATTCAGATCAATACAAACTGACCCGCATGTGCACCTCGGGCATCTTCACATGCCCCATTGAGTTTAAAGAATGAACATTAAAAGGAAGTTGAAACAGCACTTGATGAAGAATACATATTGACACGACCGAAAAAAAAGAAAATAAAGCGAAAGACACAGAGTGCAGAGTGTGTAGACATAAGAAAGAATCTACCTGTATAAAATGTGACACTAAGATGTACACATACAGGTTCAAATTAAGACATTTTACCTTTTACCTTCCACATTAACTGCTTGTGTCTGGTCACACACAAAAATAATATTCTCATGTTATTTTAATGTACAGATCGCATTTTATTTTTTATCTAAACTAAACAGAAATTATTCTTTTAGTGTCTTATTTTACTTCTTCATCTCATGTTCTCTGTTATTTTCATTTTTTTTATTCATGTTTTTAAGGCCTTTTGGAATGCACTCAACACAACCTATCGTATTTCATGTGTTAAATACCGTGCACACAATCTCTTTAATCAAAATTAATAAACAAACAATAAATTAAAAAGCATTGGAGAGGAATTCAGTATCTCGACAATAAAAATTGCTTTTGGGGGTCGTTCATGAATGATGTCTAATAGCTTTGGATGTCCTCAAACGCGAATGTTTTGGTAAATTAACTTGAGAACCTAAACTAGCTAGATTTTAGAGAGGTTAAGTGCATTTGAAAGGTAGCTAATGAGACCTGATAAGAACTTGCATCTTTTGAAGGAAGTGACTGACCTAGCTCTTTAGGTTGAGGCTCTTAATGCCCATCCCGAATAGCACAAGCTGGCTAATCGAATAGCTATCTTTCACCAAGCTAGCAATACTCAGGCATGGTGCTGGCTTCGTCTGAAATCCAGCTCCATACAAGAGTCACACCAACCAAATATTGTACGTCATTTACAAATCACCCCCTCAGCTGCTGTTATTGTTATTCAGTATATCAACCTGACATGCATGCATGAAGTGCTTAACCGAAATGAATTGTTAATGTTAAAAAAAAGAATTAGACTTTAAAATTACATTAATAGACATTTTGTGTAAATATCGCAATTTCTATGCAACCTATTCAGGTGTGTGGCATTTTTCTCTCCTTTTCTTCGCGACTTTTTAATGGCATTTCTATGAAAAATTATTTCTCTTGTCGATTCCTTAAAGGCAAGAAAAAAGGCGCTTATCGGATTATATTGTGAGAAATAAATGCAACAGCAGTTTAATGCTACTTTTTGCCTCTTTCACAGATAAATTGATGGTGAATGGTAACAAATTGATTTCATAAGCATGTCCTCTACTAAAATATACTTTGTTTAATTATTCCAATGAGATGAGAAAAGCAAAAGTAATGTTGTAGCTGTGATAAAAGAGATCTCGTCTTGATTTATGACTATAAGAAATGAAGATGCCATCGATAATAAAAATAAAAACGAAGAAGTGATGAACAGAAAATATACAAATGCGGATCTTGTAAAAGATATGCGACATGTCCAAATGTTTTTTTTTCTGTTGGCTTATTAATGAGATTTTTTTTTTAATTTGCCTCTGTCGCTTATACTGTTGGATTTATAGGGTGTACATGTGATTGGATTTTAAAGAGATTAAAGCTTTGGGTTTGTCATCGATACATTTTGTGCTTGAAATTTGATGAATATGCCTGAATAGCGCAAGTTAAAAATAATGTGTGAAGGGGCCAGCCTTTCAGCTGGAGGCACTGCGATTCAATTTGTAAAGAAGTCATCCAGATGCTAGTATATCCTTGTATACCTAGCAAAGGAGGCATATTCTATGCCAAAGACATCAATACTACACCCAACACATTGGGAATGAACCCAGGCTTGTGTAACTCTGGCAAGGAGCTGGGCTCAAATTAAATCCAGCACCATGCCAGACTTACTCAAGCTTGCTGCCGGATTTATATCTGATTAACCGACTTGGGTTATTGGAGATACTTTAGGAATTTTATAAGAATTGACAAAATTCTGAAAAATCAGGTAAAGTTCACACAAAATCGATTAAAACTCTACCAAAGTCAATTAAAAATCTGGTAGAAATCCTGAAAAAGTTGGCAACCAAAAATGTAATTTTTCTGACCGATCCCCCCAGCACTAATCCCCCTTATACAACACATAAAAATGACATTCACACATGACAAATTATTTCGGTGTCACCAGTCAGATAAAGCACTCAATATCTCATTGGATTTATAATTAAGTTGAGCCGAAATGCGAGTAAAACAACCGAAACAGTTGGAAGATCATAAATCTATTGTCAATCCGCACCAATGTTCTCATTTTCTTCATCTGTGTCTTTTCATTTAATTAATAACATTGTATGGGTGAATACAAATTTTTTCATCAACAACTATCAAATGACCTAATGCTGACAATAAAGGCCATCAAACATTACGGAATGTTTTTAAGCGTCTGGCTTTATTCAGAAGCTGTCGAAAAAAATTTTTTCTTTCTCTTTTCTTCTATGAAATATTTTTTTGTGTGTCTTCCTTTATGGAATCTTCATTCAATTACTCATTGAATTGTGAGGTATTTTGATGAACAAAAAGAGTGTTTAGAGGAAGCAGATGGGTGATGTGGGATGGAATTAGGGGGTCTGGGCACTTATGAGAAGTTCCACAAGCAAGTTTGCTCTTAAATTTAGGTTGATGATTCTAATTGGAATACCCTAAACTATTACCTTAGTAAGCTGTTGACAGATAGAGCATTAAATTTGGTATTGGTAATTAGCAAGCGGTATCCAGCGATAGAACCAGCTTCAGGCACAATCTAAGGGAGACCATGGATCACAATTGATCTGTACAGCCATAGAAGTAAGAAAATACTTCTCTTATATCCAATCTAATTTTTTTCAAGCTACACTCCTGCCATGTGATATGTCAGCCACTAAATACAAAAATGATTTCGCACCCAATCAATGTTCCAATAATTTACAGCAATTCACAAATTTCCGAGATACGAGAATCGGAAAGGAAGGTGAAAGATTGAGGCAACCTGTAGAGTCAGATATAAATTAGACGAGGTGAAATAATGAAAAACAAGAGTAACTAAAGAAAATGAATCGTTTCATCTTCATTCCCCCCGTTGATGATTCCTCTCATTAAATGGACCAGCTATATTATATCGATTTTTTTGCCTTTCTCTGCTCATTCCATAGTACTCAAAGTTCAATGATCATCATCAATTTACAATTCATTCAGATATTTTTTTTCTTCTGTTCTTTTCTTCTTATTTTTATTTATCTGTGTAAAATGAGAGATTCTTTATATTATTTTTTCGGACGCTGCTGATGCTGCTTTATATTTCATGTGATTTTTTTTTTTGGATCGGAAAGAAATTGAACATTTTCATTGTAAATCGATTAACGGGTGATTTCAACTCGAGCTTTAAATCTGCTTCATTCTCTCACACACAATATACATATTTTATGTGTTACATCAACTATCGAATGGGCAGTGAAGTGAAGAAGCATTTGCAATTAAAATTTTTGTTTTATTTTTTTTTCTTCGGTTAGTTGAATTGAGTGAGAAGATTTTTGAGATTTTTTTTTTGTATGATAGGCAGTGCTGGGAATTGATTTTAAGGTCTGAGAAGTTGCTGGGGTTTTGTAAAGATTCTGAGAGTGTCTGTCTAGACTATGAGTAGCGTGTTAAGGATCTGAGGAGAGTGTCATTAATATGAAGAGCATATTAGGGCTTTGGGGAGTCAGTCAATGTTTTAGGGATCTGCTGAGGCTTTAAAGAGTCAGTCACAGCTCTGAAGAGTCCGTCATGCTTTTGTAAAGTCAGCTACAGCTTTGAAAAGTCCGTTATGGTTCTGAGCAGTCAGCTACAGCTCTGAAAAATCAGTCATGTTTCTGTGAAGTCAACAACAGCTCTGAAAAGTCCGACATGCTTCCGAAATGTCAGCTACAGCTCTGAGGAGTTCGTTATGCTTCTGTGAAGTCAACAACAGCTCTGAGGAGTCCGCTTTTCTTCTGAAAAGTTAGCAACAGCTCTAAGAAGTTCTTTATGCTTCTGAGAAGTGAGCTACAGCTCTGAGGGGTCTGTTATGCTTCTGAAAAGTTAGCTAAAGCTCTGAAAAGTCCGCCATGCTTCTATGAAGTCAGTTATAGCTCTAAAGAGTCCGTTAAGCTTCTGAGAAGTCAGTCACAGCTCTGAAGAGTCCGACATGCTTCCGAAAAGTCAGCTACAGCTCTGAAGAGTCTGTCATGCTTCTGAGAAGTCAACTGAAGCTCTGAAAATTCTATCACTCTCATGAAAAATCCTTTCAAGCTTTTCCAGAGTTTCTTTGAATCTAAATAACTTGACTTCCAATTCTTCATCCAATAATTCATAAAATTCCACCTGTTTCTGTCTAAACATTTCATTCCTATTCTCCATATCAACCTCAATAAATCTGAATAGTTTCTATATAAAAAATTCTACTTCAATATTTATTATACCCGACCTTCTTTATCGCAAAAATAAAACACTCAACTTTATTTTTTTAAGCCGATGACGGAATAACGTTGTAAAACAATCACGTCGTTGACATTTTATCGAATTATCAAGTCATGCACGCATACAATAAAGGCCGCAAAAGTCAGTCACAAGTTCAAAATACATAATGAGCTAATAAATATTTCTCTTTTTTTCAGAGTTTCTTTCCTCCTC